CATTGATGATTAACCCCTGGCACTTCCTGACACATTGCTCTGCACCGTAGCCTAAAATCCCAGAGTTCCGCACCACATGCGGAACCGGCGCCTGACGCGATGCCAGACTGTCCGAGCGTGGGCGAGCTCGTGAGTCGCGGGGGTTTTGGGCAAAGCTGCTCTTTACCTCACAGTGTTCGGTCCGCGTCGGTGCCTGCAGACACACTCCTTGTGTTTGCATTGGTGGATTAACTTTGTGTATCTCCTCTCTAACGGTGTGTGCACACGAGGGTGAATGACAGCAGATAAGCAAGGGTGCACAGCAGCAAATGTCAATGAAAAGAGAGAGAGAGGAGAGGGGGTTGTTCAAAGAGGGCCCTTTGCCCGTATCACGATGGGACAATGGTGACTGGCTGGCCTTCCACCTCTGATTCTTTCAAAGTAGAACTGTGTACATCTTTTTTTGTTTGTTTTTTTTAGGCTCTCAGAATTCAAGATGAAATTCCACAGCAGATCCATCCGACACCCCAGTGATCACCCAACGTGGTTAAAATCTGACAGTGGTGACAGCAGAGGTAAGTTTTCATTGACGTTCTCACAACAAAGGCGAGATTCCAAAACACAGCTATAAATTAGGATGGATTTTCAGGTGTACTGTAGTTGCAAAGCTCATAAAAATAAAAACGCGACCAAATTGAGTTTATCCCCTTTTCTTTTTCTTGTCTCTCTTGACTTTCCCCCCCCCTGCTCTCTCCCTCTCTCTTTGTCTGTCCCCCTCTCTGTGCCCCACTCTTCGGCCCCTCGGCTATCAGATTGCAGCGTTTTTCCCCTCCCCTTGTGCAAGCAGATAATTCCACCCGTGACCTCTTTGCTACCCGGCTCTAGGGCTGAGATTGTGAAAGCTCATCAAGCATACCTCCAGCCTGGATGGGCTATTTGTAAAAGCTACCATGGAGCATGTGCAGCTCGGTCAGTTCGGACACGCGAGAAGGAAAGCCCTACAGCGCTGCCAAAAGGAAGATTTTTTAAAAATGTCTCCTTTATGGTACCACGCAGGTGTAAGTTTTGGGAAAAAGATTTTAAAAAATTTTAAAAAGCCATCTTGGTTTGTAGAAGGACATCATTAAATCCACTGGGATTTTACAAAACTGTCTCATAATTACTGTAGGAAACTTAATTACTTCATGTTTAACAAACACACTGTACCTGGCCTCGTTTGTGTTTATTTCCCTTCTGCAAATCGGCTGTCTGCTGTCTTTGTCTACACACTGAAGGAGAAAAGAAAAAATCCATTGCTTTCAGAAACTGTATTTAAAAAAATAATAAATAAATTAAAAAAAAAAAAAGGAGCGAAAGTCCTTGTCCGTCTCTATGCTTTTCAGGGACAAGCACATGATTCATACTTACACGGTGACTGTGAAACCAGAGCAGGTGGCTCTCCTAATGTGTTTTCACAGATGTGATCTCTGCTACATTCTCTCATCACTCTGATTCCTGCGAAGACACCGGGGGGGAGGAGGACGAGGAGGTCTGCTCGAGATCCGACCACCAGGCAGACCGGCTTCGGCCTGCCTCACATCCAACGCCTTGTTTCGCACTTCTGGTTCGATTCAAAAACCCTTCACACACAGACTGAAAGATGCACCGACGCTGTGCTCACACTCCTGAAATTACGCGTGTTGTCACAGTAACATGCGTAATGTATTGTACTGTGGTTTTATACGATATTCGCTACCAGACATTTTGCGTGTATTTGCGAAGTGAAAGTAAAATGTGACGCTTTTATTTATTTAGAGGAAAATGTGATATTATTTGTATGGATTTGTATTTTGTCCCTTTAAACCTGATTCCCCTACAAACACATCCACTTGAACTAGTCGCCTCATGTCATTGGTAAATAGTGTTGGAGTGTAAAAAACTTGAGATTTGGGTGGAAATTCATCTTCCAGTAGGATTATCCTGAACGTACAGTCAGGAAGTTACAATGGACTATTTCAGATCTGAGCAATTTCACAAGTTACACTGGACCAGTCAAAGTCTACACCTAAATCCAATTGAGAATCTTTGGCAAAACTTGAATATTACTCTTTACACACACTCTTCATCCTTCCCCCTCTCTCCCCCCCAACTGAGCAGAAGCTGTATTTGCTGTGAAAGAAGATTCTACAAAAATGTTACCTCAAACAGGATGAGTACATGTGAATGCCCACACTATTCAGTTTTTTTTTTGTTGTTGTTTTTTTTTGCAGTAATATTTCTTTAACATATAAATCTCTGCTGCCTTTTTTGGGGGTAGAGGGGTTTTAAGCATAAATAATTGCAATAAAATACATTGAAGATTGAAACTGTAGTGTAACTACAAGGGGTGTGGATCCTTTTGCAAAGCCCTTTCATTATGTTAGAGGCTGTAACTCTCCAAATTCTCCTTTGCTTTTTTTCCACCCTCTGTAGCATTTAATCTAACATCTCCCCCGCCCCCTCCCTGTTAGTACTTTAGTCCTTATTGTTCCCCAAAGAAAAGAGCTTCATAAATAAGCATGCAGCAGCTGACAAAAAACAGCAGATCCACATTGGATGGTGTCTCGTCTTACACAAAGCTAATGACTGAATAAAGAGCAGAACTCGGGAGTTTGAGGGAAAGTCAGTCCTTCGGTCAGACAAAAACTCCTATCTATCCCCTGCTGCTTCATATCACGATCTTCCAGCTAATTGAAAAATGGTACGGCTTTGTGCGAACCTGTGGGGTCAAGAAACACGGTCGTCCTTCAAAGAGCAGAAGAAGAAAGCACAAAGAAAACAACTTTTTCTCCACACGCTAAGGGAGAACAAGTGTCCGGCTGCAGAGGATAAGTTATTATTGATGCACAGATAAAAAGGCCGGTCATCAAGAAGCCAGAATGCTTTCATGCCAGGCGATAAGCAGATCAAATACATAAATGTCAGATTTTTTTTTTTTTTTAAACTGAAACACTGGATCAAAATCTTTACCACTGAGCAAGACTGACATAAACTAAGTTGCGTAAAGGAGGCGCACCATGTCTAGCTGCTAATGAATATGTGCTACTTACGCCACATAAACCTTTACAAAACGACTGGTAAAGCTGGAACCAAAGGTTGTGTGAATTTTCCACTTAAACGTACGGGATTCTCCCACTTTGACTGTTTCCTACAAGTTGACAGCAACAAAATTGTTTCCAATCTGACTCATTGTGGGCAAGAACTTCCATAATGCCCTCCTCTAAACAGCTGCAATGCAACTGTTAATCATACCAAAATGCCAGATGCTTGTACTTCTAACTTACAGCCTAAGATCACAATTAGAGCTGCCTAATGACGTACTATATGTAATGTGCCAGATCTGAGGCTCACATAACACTAAAAGTCCTCGTTTAGTCACCGCTGCAAACAAACACGATGAACCAGTTGTCAAAATCTGTCAAGCAAGTTTTGTTGTATTTAGTTTCTTTATCATTCTTTCCTGAAAATGACTCTCAAATTGAAGAGCCTCTCTCAACCTCAGCTTTTACTGATGAGGAGCATGTGAAGAATTAATTACAACCAACATGTGACAGGAAGAGTCGAACCTACAACCTTCCGATCACAAGACAACTGCTCTGCCCACAGAGCCACATTCGCCCCCATGCTGGGATTTATTGGATTTAGAAGTTAGAAGCCAAAATGGATAAACATGAATTTTGGTGTATTGTTGGCATCCTTTGACTCCTAATAAGGCTCTGGTTTCGAAATAAAAGAATAAAAAAAAGCCATTCATATAAAGTTTGGGTTAAGATTTTGTAGAATAATTATCAGCATGAAAGTCACTGTAAGTTGGGACTTTCAATGTTTTGTGCCACTTTTAATTTTTCTTAGTGAAATGATGCATAGTAGTTTGGTGTTCAAAAGGGACAAACCCACATTGAAACTGTTTACGAATGGATAAAGTGGCCTAAAAATCAACCAAACACAACTCTGAATTTCTTGCACTACGTTTTAAGATAGAGTCCATTTCAGAAAACCGGTCAATTTGAATGATCTCTGCTACCTATGAGAAAAGGAGTCAAATATCCAGCTAGAAATCAATCAGAAGCTTGTTGATAGCTGGCTTCATCAAGGAAAACTTGCATAAGAGAAAATCTACAATGAATTCAAATGTGTGCATCCTGTTCCACCCAAAAAAAAAAAAAAAAAAAATACACAGCTGAAAAGGATCACTGGAGTCTGAATAGAGCCAACAAACACATGCAGACAGACATCATGTAAGGCTCATCTGCAGACAGGACTGAGCCTCAGCCTTACATGAGCTCAATTACAATCTTCAAACGACAGCAGAGTGTTCTGTGAATTGCGCGACACCCACTTGCAAGCAGCACGTTGACAGTCCGGCTGGTCAGGGCTCCGATGGCGCTGGCACTCACGCAGCTGTAACTGCCCTCTACGTTCTGGGGAGGCTGGCTGTCTGCAGAAGTGGGCGACAACAGGAGGGATCCGTTGGTCAAATACCGCAGGCGATCTCCCGGCGCCTGCGGCAGGAGCTGGCCATCCTTGAACCAGGTGACATTGAAAGGAGTGTCGCTGGACCCCAGGTTGCAGTCCAGCAAAAGTGGCAAACCTAGCTCCAGAATCACATGGCTGGGCCCAGCACCACAGCTCAGTTCCACCGCCGAAACAGGCTTTTCTGTGTAGGAAGAGAGGAAAAAACAGATCAGTTCACTAGGATGTACCATGACGGGTCTGGGACAGTTTATCTTTACTCCATACAACAGTTTTACGACTTTCTACAAGGAACTCTCAGAATATATGAAAAACAAAGCATTTTTCCTCACTTGTCTAACTTCTTTTACTATGTGATAAATTTGGGAAAAACATCATACTCGCTACTTTGAAACATTTTACTCGTCTCTGCAAAGTTGGGAGCACAGATGGATTTAACAGAACATTTATAAAACGGGCCGTTCTGAAATAGAGCGGAGACCGTTTCTTGGAGGAGGATCTTTAAAAATGAGATTGGCACAGTAAGAGTTTATTGGCACCGCTGGTAAAGATCTGTAAAAAAAAAAAAGTGTATAAATCAGTCTTTCACTGCAGTGGGATAAAATGAAAGACCAATTTTTAAAATGGGTATATTACTGAGAAGGGTGGGGGGAAAAAAATCACATATTAAGAAATAATTATTTCTGACAAAATCACAGCTTCCACAATAACAGACTTTTTCTACAACAATCCTTTTTCCAATATGACGATAGTTTGTCACGATTGAGCAAATATAGAACAGGGATTTATGAACCTGTTCTATGACTCTCTCTATTTGGTTTTTTCTCCATTTCATCATACAGATTTCCTGTTTTTATTCCTGGATACATGATAGAAGGCTTTTGATTTCGCCATATGTGTAGAATCATAAAAGATCCACTTACATAATGCTACACTCTCCTATAAGGTTCTCGCGGTCTTTTGAAGAGGAATGGGTTCACTGCATCAGCATCACAAACCCTCACGCACACCTAACCCTGCTTTTCTACATATTTGTTCTCCGTTTCCTGTAAACCCAGCCTGAAAACTTCAATGTGTTCCGTCTGACCAAAGTTTAAAGCTCCGGTGGAGTTAGGCAAACTCCAAATGTTTACGGTTCAGATGGGGAGACAGAAACGACTTCTTTTTGGCATGCTTCTTAGGCAGCTGGCTGGCATGTAAACAGTGGCTAATGGTTGTTATGGAGACTTGGTGACCTCAAGACACCTCTCGCTTTGCAGCGGTTCCCATACAGAACGCTTTGGAAATGGATTTCAACTCCCGTATCGTCCCAATCAGCAGCAAGCGTGTGCTACAAATGATGTGACTGGGTCTCCTTCCAAATATCCTCAATTTAAATGTTGCTTTTTGATTATTTAAAGAATAATTAAATTAAAAACACATTCATCTTCCCATCAGTTTTGACCAAGTTAAAACAAAACACTGATGTAGAAACATTGGTGTTTTACAGATTTGTACATTTTAATCCCCAGTGACTCCTCCACAAAAGCATCAGTGGTTGTGGCCATCAAGTTACATTTTGGTCACTTCCTGTTTTGAGGCAGGCTATACTCTAGACAGTAACAACAATCTTCTGGTGACTTTATCATGTAGCCACTTTTCCTTCAAGTCTTTCTTTATTGTGCATCTTGAATCTACCACAGTACTTTTTGTTTTTCTAGAGTTCAATATGCGTTAGCTGAAGCCATTTGGCTGCTTTTCTTTGAATCGGAAACAATTGGCTGGATTATTTTTTGGTATAGTTGGCATTGGCTTGGTTTCAACGTAATCCCAAATTTTCCACTTCTCAAGTAGAGTGTGAACACAGCCTATACTGTCATTTCCAAATCCCTGGAAATCTCTGTATCATTTTCCATTTCTATCAAGTTCAAGAACCTTTTCTGCAGATCATTTGATAATTAGTTTAGTCTCTTCAGAAAGGGCAGAAAAGTGAAAGCACATCCCATTATGTGATAATACAGTACATTAAAATGCTAATCATCTCAATACAGACAGCATAAATTGTTGTCAAATGCTGATTGATGTTTAGTGTTTGCTGCTACATTGCTTATGTATTTTTAGCAACTGTACTGCATGGCTTTCAATAGACTGATCACTGTTCTGAGGACAATTGATAACTTGAAAGTCAGCATCCTTTGCCATGCATTATGTATAACATGCACTTTGTAATATGTATGAGACCAGAGGAGGTAGTTCTCATATTAACCAAACAGCAAAGTGAACAAAGTACGTTTATCATTTCTTATTAAAGGATACAACAGCAAAAAAAAAAAAAAAAAAGATGAAAATCTTGAAAAATGTGTGCAGGCTTTTTGTGAGGTTGGCCTTACGGTGATTTGTATAAATCAGATAAACTGAATACAACAAGAACATTTAATCTTAGGAGTCTTTTCCCTTTGACTCTGTAGTGCAAAAGGAAAGTTCAGCTTTTCTCAGAGAGCTCTTCTAACACAAAACCACTATTTTCCCTCAGTCCTCAATCTTTTGCAACTGTTGGAAGGTCATCATTTCTCTTTCACTGCTTTTTCCCGTCACAGCCAAGACCTTTTTTTTCTCTCCTAATAAATTTTAATTTAAATGTTTTACTTTGCCTTTACACTGACATTCATTAGCGTTATACAGTGACTTGCCTCGATTTGCTCTGAAATCACTTTTAACAAATTGCCCCCAACTGCCTGACAAAAAGAAATATTATTTTGTGAAGCAGCAAGATTCCCTGACGAATCTTAAGGCTTTTTTCTTTTTTTCTTTTTTTTTTTTTACAGTGTGTGGAGTAGTCTGATGGTTAGTAGCCATTACTGCTGAAGACATTTATTACATCAGTAAAAGCTCTGGGTTGTCAACACTCATTCCCTCCTAAAGGAAGGCTAGAAGAAATGTGTACCTGGGATGCAAAGGAAGGATAAAACAAAGCAAGTGCTCAAGCCTTGGCAAATTAGAACAAGAATCTCATTGCATCATTTTTCCAGGAAAAACATAATGTTGCTTTATTACAGCTCATCTTTGTTTCTAATTTGGCAGTCACACTGTGCAACCACTCAAGCTCAGGACTAGAGATTTCTGTCACAATTAAAGATTTTGAAGAATGAAAGATTGCTTGACCGCTTTGCCTTTCTCAATCAGAAAATCATCCTGAAGAATGTTCCTTCTATCACTTACAATTCCATGTTTTATGAAGCAACTTGTTTGGATGCACCTTAGCATTGTAACAGGAATTGAAGTGAAGGTATTATTCTTCCAAGGACACAAGCCAATTGTGCAAAAAAATCTAAAACTTTTGCTCTGGTGTGTTTGGAACAACTGGCAGGCTCACCAACATAACCCCACATAGGCACACAAATGTCCAAATAAACAACATAAACTTCACAACTGTAGATTATTAATGTCTGCCGTATCTTTTTGTTGTGAACGGTTTTGGTTTGAATTGTTTTACACCGCTGAAGTAAGCTAAAACAGACGGCTAATGTGTAGCTAGCTGTACGCTATCACCACTCCAAGAAAACAGTTTTATTTTCAACAAGCTCACAATGATATGGCATCTTTCTACAACAGGTGAAGGAGGATCAGGTTTTGCTTTTGTCAAATATTTATTGCTTAAGCCTCCCATCTTGCTGTACTTGCACACCTACTGAAAACTGCATGTTACTCAGATTTAAATGTTTGGAAATCATGTGGTATAACACAGCTTGTTGTATGTCTATGAAGCATGTAGATCACTTTTATCCTCTCTCATTCTGAATAGTGCATTTATATTTAAAATACTGGTGTGGAATTTGTTGCATTTTTTAGTGTGAGAATGCAGTCATACCGTTTCTTATGCAGTCATAGTCCTAATTTATTTCTATATTTACAGATCAATTAATACATTAGGAGTGAAACTTTAAACCTCAATGAGATCTTCCAGGTAAGTGTTTTTTTTATTTTTTGTTTACTGAACTATTTACCAAGTAGGCCAAGTCATCCATTTCACTTTCAGTTTCAAGCCTTCTGCAGCCCGAGTGAACCCTCATCAGTTCAGACGTAGTGTCTGGACAGCATATCGTGCAGTGGTGTGGCTCTTGTGTGGCATAAACTGCATCTGGTATCAACATGGAAAATTCTGTGTTGCATAATGTCACGTCTTTGTTCCGACAACAATCTAATTTGAAAATCACTTTTATAGTTCATCTTTAAATTGGTCGACTTTCACATACACACAGAGCAGGTTACTTCCAGCTTCCCCGTCTCTGCCGTCAGACTAATTAAGTTAATGGGAAATGGAATTCTTCCCCTGATTAAATGAGGCCTGACTCCCCACCATCACCTCCTGATGAAGAGGTTATGCTGAGTGAGGCAGCTGACACATCCACACATATCTACACTGGAGAAGAAGAAGAAAAAAAGCCGCTGTACTGATGTAACGACACACCCATGGAGCAAATGCAAAAATCAGTCAAACTAAAGACTTGCGCATGAGAAGCATTTTAAAGCTTCTACGCAGCTGGTAATGTGTTTCAGCACAGACAGATCACCCCTAACGGCTCCTTGTATCCTCTCTCCCATTTCTAGTAATTAGGTCTCATTAAGTCATTAAAATGCTAACAGCGATTTCACAGCTTACCTCAAGTACGTTAAAAATAATTAATCAAATGAAAGGTGAGTATGATTCTGTATCAGCCCTCGAAGAGGAAAAAAGGGTGTGATTAAACAAGAGGGGGACATTACACAACTCTTTTCATTAATAAAACTTGCCACTTTTCATGTTATACTCGTTATATTCCATAATAAATCAAACAGTAGGGGAAAAAGCTCTGAAGATTTCCTGAAAAGAGGTTCAACACAATCTCCTGTCCTCTGCAGCAGGATTTAAAAGACCGGACGTATAAATCTGACTGCATATTCACGTGCGTCTGCTCCAGGAGTATTTGCTGATTTGAAGCCAAAGGTGTTCACATGCACGGTGCAGAGTCGCATGCGCCAAATCGGACCGACGCTGACAGATGTTGTAATGCTGACGCAACAACAGCAAGCGTGACATGAGGTAATGGTGCAGTGAAAGGAGGAGAGGATGTGAGACGTGGTCATTCTGCCAGTTTTCTTCACAAATTGTGTCTGCTGGGAAAACTGAGCTGTTGCAACGAACGGCAGAAGAGCACAACAACAACA